CGGCATAATAGTCGATGCCGTTACTGCGCGTAATAGTCGACACAATCGTGTACTCAGTTGTCTCGGGGGCGGAAGAAATGCTGTCGGTGGTCTTTGGGGCAGCAGCGGTGGCGACAGGGGTTGAAGTGATTTCGGGCTGCGCTGCGATGGGGAGGGCGAGCATAAGAGCTGCGAAGGCGATTGATCGTGCCATTTTGTTTTTTCTTGGGTAAAACGTGTGACGTTTGAGGAACGAATATTAAAGAGAGACCTTGTCAAAAAGTTGCATATGCAAAAGAATGTAATTATTGTGTTTTGTACTTATATGGGTATTTGTCGGTATTTAAAATCATGAGCTAATGCGTCGGTGATAACGCGGTGTGACATCCAGCCAAACTCAGACATTTATACGATAAAGGATTCGACGAATAGTTCCACTCTGATCCTTTAGACTATTAATAGCGGTAATAAAATGAATTGTTTTAAGCGATGGCGTGTCTATTCCTGTTCGAGACTATGCCAAGAATTTCCAGTGTACGCGAAGAGATCTCCGAAACAAAAGTGCTTTGGCCCACTTTCACGATAACGTATACCCTACACTCAGAGGGTCAGAGGGTCTGAGACCCTGAGGGGCGTTATTAATTAAGTCGATGAACAAACTTATCTTAGAAAGCCTCTTACTTAGGTGCAAGCTTCTCAGGGTTTTTGAATCCCGTAGCCGGTAGTTAACAAGCCCTCGCGGTTGTTGTCATTTCTTCAACTTAAGATCGTCGAAATTCAGATCAATAGGCTTAGCTGCGCTCGCGAAATGAGTGAGGTCCCACCATGAAAACTTCAACTAAGGATAAATACTTAAGGTATCGAAACTCTAGAGAGTCATAAGCTTTGGCAATATTACAGACTGGTCTGAAGTGTTTCATTGATCGTGGACTAAGACCATTGGCATCAGAACCGTGTCTATGGTGCGTCTGTGATCTCGATGATAGGTGCTGACTGTGCAGAATCCCTGAAAGATAATTCTTTATGTCCTTGTAGACTGGAGGATCGCGCTGTTGTCAAGCTCTGCCTCCTGGGTCTTAGATTGCCCCTTTGTCATCGCCTTGGGCCACGTACAGTGGATCTGTATGCCTCCGGCTGGAATCGACTTGTTCCTGATCCTTTAGTTATAGGAAATGTAAATAATGTTTGCTCTCCGTCGTCTTCCACCGAAAGCCTCTTTATTGTCTACTGGACTCCTGTTCGAGTTTTCTTTCGCTGCTATGCTATCCAGAACCCCCTGGCGAGCATTAGAACGAACTCGATCTGGACGTTGGACATCAGCACCTCCCACTAGTAAGTAGGTCTATGTTTCGCAAATCAGTGGATGAAAGAGTACTATAGTCTGTTTCTCTTGTACAGGTGACAGTGGCAAGCTGTTACGCAGAAGTTCACATAGACTAAGAGAACAGTAATGATCTTACCGATTATCGATGTACCACTGGGGCATGGTCACCGGGGCATGACCTCTCTTCTGTTCGTATCATATCTCCTTGCAATCCATCCATAGGACCAAGAAAATCTGTAACCTACTCACAAACATCAACACTACCGGTACGTCAGCGGAGACTTCTTGTTTCGATTTTGATACTGATCACACCTAGATATCATGGCAAACCGCGAAATCGAGTACCTTGTTCGACACCGAGTAAACCGACAAGAGAGCACTGTCAAGTTTCTTGTTGAATGGACAGACGATACCCCGCGATCTTGGGAAGCCGAGGAATATCTACAAACGATCGATCCCAAAGCGCTCTATAGCTACTGGGAAGAGCGTGGTGGGCGAGACCACGTCACACTACTTGTAGAGTTTCACGTCTACAAGGTGAAATCGAAGGGTTGGAAGAGAGGAGAATGGGCCTACAACTGTCAGTGGGTTGGATGCCCGCCTGATCAAAACACTTGGGAACCGGAGGATAAGATCTTAAGCAACGCTCCGGCTGCAGTTGCGGATTGGGAGGCCCGAGAAGCCGCCCGTCAAGCCAGGGTGGAAGCTAGGAACGCAGGAAAGAAGTAGGAGGCCGGGGATGATACTACACCGACGAATCCTTAGAGGATCAGTCGAGATGGGAGTGACGCCACTTCTGGATGTCAGCAAGTGTAGATAGATAGCAGGAATCCCACCCCGTACGTGGAAGCAAAGCGAAGTTTGGAACCTCCAGAGTCATGAGTAAACGTGGCAGACAGATCTAGAGAGATTGGTAGACTCAACTCGCAGTATCCCGTAGCAAATTGATCTGAACCTTTATCAATCGCCCTGTCCCGCATAGTAGCCAAGTTTCCAGTATATCTGTCAAGACCGGAGCACTGTTAGAGAACCTGAGCTAGTTGGATCTTGAATTTTGGCCGTTATACAGTAGTGCGTCAAATGTGAGCTCCGCTGACCGGAGCCCCGCAATCAGGAAAATGCAACATGTGGAACCATTCAATATACAGCAACTCCTTAGCAAGAAGTTTGCCGTATACAGAACACGGCAGTAAATGAATCTTGTACATATTCTGTTCGCCTACAAGGTGTAGTACGTCCTCAAAGGGACGTTCACAATAGCCAAAGAATGGAATCCGTGATCTTGCTGAACAATGACTTAGCTCTGGAACACATTCGCCCCTTTGTCTACTGTATGTCTTGTTCGGAATATGTAAATTTGTATAAAACGCATCAGCAGGACCTAAGGAGCCTACATAAAGACCTCAACACGATTGTCGTTCAAATAATAACAAGGTTTCAAAATCGCTTCTGCTTATTATCACACAATATGGCCGCCAACCAAGATGACCAAGAGTACGAAATCGAGCGCTTCGTACGCCACAAAGTCAACAGACGAAAGAAGACGGTCCAGTTTCTCGTCAAGTGGAAAGGCTACGACGAACCAACGTGGGAACCCGAGGCCCTCATGCAAGAAACCGCTAGCCGCACAGTGTATCGGTACTGGCGGAAATGCGGTGGCGGTGGTCCTGCTACTTATTTAACACACTACCACGTTTTCAAAGTTCTGGCCAGAGTGTTCAAGAAGGGTAAATGGTACTACCACTGCCAATGGGTGGGTTATTCGGACTCACATAAGGATACCACTTTGGAGACCGTAAAGAAGGTAGAGAGGATTGCGAAGGATGTGGTTGATGAGTATAAGGCTAGTCAAAGAGGTGGTAACCAGAACATTCCACCCGCGAATCGTTAGAGCATAATTCGATTAGAGAACTTAACAGATACGATAATGAACTTAACTGACATGCGAATATCTGAATAACTAGCACTCCTTATCAAGTGACCAAGTTGTAACAAACCGTAGCCACACCTTTAGACCCCCAGGCTCGCGCAACATAATCATGCCATTTCTGAGGACTGATAGAGCAGAGCTGTAGGCTGGTACCTTGGTCACGAGTGGCCATGCGATAAAGAACCGATAATGGAATTGGAAAGAACGCAGAACTTGGTCTTGCCAGAGCGTAGTAAACGTTAGACGACATACAATAAGCACCATCTTGCAACACTCTCCTGGATTCTCCAAGTCTAATCTCATTTCCATCACAGATAGTGTAGATTTGTCTTAGAAGGGTAATCGTGACGATATCGGCGTCGGAAGGACGACCTCTCTGGTCAGCTATGAAAGAGTATTCTTTGCTCGCAGAGCCTTTCTTTGAAACAAATACCTCACTGTCCGGCATTAGACATCCAGATCCCCATTGGTAGTTAAGTAATAGATGTTATAACTAGACCGCATGGAGGGGAAATTTAAGAATGAAGTTACTGTATTAGAGAATCTTCTGGTTAGAGATAGGTAGAGATTGTGGTGGTGTGAGGACCCCGAAGCTAGTTTTAGGCTGTTAAAGATTACTTGATGCCTGAAAGGACTTGGTTATATCGTGAAAATTCTATGCTGCTTGTACAGACAGTCCCGGATCAGTAAGGATCCCAAGTAAGTCAAGCAATGTAAATATTCTGCTATATCCACACACTCAACCCGATTTGAATAAAGAAATCGAGGAACTCTGAGTCTATTTTTATTTCTTTCACATCCAGAACATCAAGCTGTGACTAAAGGTGTTGAAATAACAATCAATCAACTCATTGTTTGAAAGGGCATTGTTAAATGGCTTAGAACACAGGCCTCTTGCCGCGGTGCAGATGTTCGTCTTTGTAGGTTCTGAACACAATGCTGAAGCGTGATAGATAGCTAAGCCACAGACCTAAACTGCGGGAAGCATATATATCATTGAACATGAATTATTCGCTCCCATAATTGACAAAATGTTCTTCAAAAACTATCAACAACTCCGAAATTATCAACAAGGAACAACAACGATGTCCGAATCACAAATCCGACCGCTATCTGAATCGCACCTTGAAGTCTACCAGCGGCTTTTGGATCAATTTGACGATTCAATAAGATACCTCAACAACCCGATCAGAGTATGCCGCCGCTCCTTGGACAACATTCTCTTACGCCTCCATGGGAATGGAATGAATGACTCGATCATTAGAGTTGAACTTGAGTGCCGTCAATATTACCTATCCCTTGGCGGCGAGGACGAGCACCTTCATCCGTTTTGCTATCTCGAGTGTTTAAGTCTGGAATACAGACCAATTCCAGGGTTTGAACCTCGACGTGAACATGCCTTGTGGGGAACAGGTGGCTGGCCAATTGAAGGCACCTGGTTAGACAGCCTCAGACGTCGAATCTTACCCGAGCTCATAGACTTGTCTGATGACGCAGCGAAGGAAAAGCGCGTCGGTCAACTGAAGCATTCACCTTTAGCAAGTCCGTGGCCTTTCGAGTACGGTTGTGGCATGATTCCATTGCACGCCGCTGCGACTGAATTATATCTATCTGACCTGGAACCAGTTCAGTTGATGAAAAGACCCAACTCAGTGGAGTACGCC